TTGCAAGAAAGAATACACAGCGGAAGTTTTTGAAGTAACCCAATTAAGAAAGTGTCAATGCATGGATCACAAATTGTCCAAGCAAAATGTTAAGAGATATCAATACACTTGTAATTGAAGTTGAAGGCTAAATTGTTTAATTAACTTAAATAGGTATGTTTTGAGCCAAAAGGGTGTTTCATCCCCACCCCTTTTTTTTATTGTCTCGATTGTCTGAAGAACAGAATATTGGAAAAAAAAAAAAAAAGGAACAGGAGAATTTGAGGAGTTGTATAGGAGTGAAAATTCTACCTGAAAAAAGAAGTGGTAATTCATGTACTTGATTGGCTCTTCAAGTGGCATTTGAGATTTGAAGTCCATTTTGGATATTTATAAACAAAATCCACTTTGCGGACTTAAGAATTTGGTAGGGGTGAGTAAAAGGAACCGTTCGGACCGGACCGCACCGGTCAATTATGGCGGCAATTCCTTGGTGCACCGGTTCAGTTACTAGTTCCATAAATTTGGAACCGGTAAATTTCGGTCCAGTTCCAGTTGTGAAACCGTCCACCTGAATCAAATCGGTGACTTTACAAAAAAAAGAAAATACTTTTTCACTTTACCCCTCAACTATTTGTGACCTTACAATTAACCCCTTAAACGAAAAGCAAACCATTAGTTGACATTCTGTTTGTTAAGGGATAAAATGCAATTTAACGAGAGGATATAACGATTAAAAAATACTGAACATGCCACTTTGGTTCCATTGGCCCATCCAGGAACCGATCGATCGGTTTAGGACTGTTTTGGTAATTCTCCCCTCAATTTTTGTTCGAAATATGGGATTATTAGTAGTATTCATGTTTTCCTTCTTAGTAGAACAATGAAAGCATTTAGCCGGATATTTCCTTCTATCTCTATTTTTCTTTTCTTTTCGTTTATCTTGGTTAATCTCATAATGCTTTTTTAAGACCGGAAGGGTCAATTGAGTTTCTAGCTAAATGTACATCCGATATGTCTTGTTTGGATCCTTGAAGGAAGAAGTAAATTGTTCTCTTCATGCTAGTTGCAAGCAAGAATACACAGCGGAAGTTTTTGAAGTAACCCAATTAAGAAAGTGTCAATGCATGGATCACAAATTGTCCAAGCAAAATGTTAAGAGATATCAATACACTTGTAATTGAAGTTGAAGGCTAAATTGTTTAATTAACTTAAATAGGTATGTTTTGAGCCAAAAGGGTGTTTCATCCCCACCCCTTTTTTTTATTGTCTCGATTGTCTGAAGAACAGAATATTGGAAAAAAAAAAAAAAAAGGAACCGGAGAATTTGAGGAGTTGTATAGGAGTGAAAATTCTACCTGAAAAAAGAAGTGGTAATTCATGTACTTGATTGGCTCTTCAAGTGGCATTTGAGATTTGAAGTCCATTTTGGATATTTATAAACAAAATCCACTTTGCGGACTTAAGAATTTGGTAGGGGTGAGTAAAAGGAACCGTTCGGACCGGACCGCACCGGTCAATTATGGCGGCGATTCCTTGGAGCACCGGTTCAGTTACTAGTTCCATAAATTTGGAACCAGTAAATTTCGGTCCAGTTCCAGTTGTGAAACCGTCCACCTGAATCAAATCAGTGACTTTACAAAAAAAAGAAAATACTTTTTCACTTTACCCCTCAACTATTTGTGACCTTACAATTAACCCCTTAAACGAAAAGCAAACCATTAGTTGACATTCTGTTTGTTAAGGGATAAAATGCAATTTAACGAGAGGATATAACGATTAAAAAAAATATTGAACATGCCACTGGTTCCATTGGCCTATCCGGAAACCAGATCAGTCGGTTTAGGACTGTTTTGATAATTCTCCCCTCAATTTTTGTTCGAAATATGGGATTATTAGTAGTATTCATGTTTTCCTTCTTAGTAGAACAATGAAAGCGTTTAGCCGGATCTTTCCTTCTATCTCTATTTTTCTTTTCTTTTCGTTTATCTTGGTTAATCTCATAATGCTTTTTTAAGACCGGAAGGGTCAATTGAGTTTCTAGCTAAATGTACATCCGATATGTCTTGTTTGGTTCCTTGAAGGAAGAAGTAAATTGTTCTCTTCATGCTAGTTGCAAGAAAGAATACACAGCGGAAGTTTTTGAAGTAACCCAATTAAGAAAGTGTCAATGCATGGATCACAAATTGTCCAAGCAAAATGTTAAGAGATATCAATACACTTGTAATTGAAGTTGAAGGCTAAATTGTTTAATTAACTTAAATAGGTATGTTTTGAGCCAAAAGGGTGTTTCATCCCCACCCCTTTTTTTTATTATCTCGATTGTCTGAAGAACAGAATATTGGAAAAAAAAAAAGGAACAGGAGAATTTGAGGAGTTGTATAGGAGTGAAAATTCTACCTGAAAAAAGAAGTGGTAATTCATGTACTTGATTGGCTCTTCAAGTGGCATTTGAGATTTGAAGTCCATTTTGGATATTTATAAACAAAATTCACTTTGCGGACTTAAGAATTTGGTAGGGGTGAGTAAAAGGAACCGTTCGGACCAGACCGCACCGGTCAATTATGGCGGCAATTCCTTGGAGCACCGGTTCAGTTACTAGTTCCATAAATTTGGAACCGGTAAATTTCGGTCCAGTTCCAGTTGTGAAACCGTCCACCTGAATCAAATCGGTGACTTTACAAAAAAAAGAAAATACTTTTTCACTTTACCCCTCAACTATTTGTGACCTTACAATTAACCCCTTAAACGAAAAGCAAACCATTAGTTGACATTCTGTTTGTTAAGGGATAAAATGCAATTTAACAAGAGAATATAACGATTAAAACAAATACTGAACATGCCACTGGTTCCATTGGCCCATTCGGGAACCAGATCAGTCGGTTCCTAGGCAGGAAACAAACCCCCCAAGAACCGATCACCCTTAGAATTTGGCATCAGGGGTAATTTGCAACAAAACCAACTTTGAGGGCATTTCTAGGTTTTACATTCATTGCAGGCGCATTTTGAAAATAATGACCCAAGTCAAAAAATTCAAATTGAGGGTCATCCCGTCGTACTTCTCGCCAAAGTGGGCGCGAAACAAAGAAATGGCAACAAGGTGTCAAAACCATGTCTAAGTTATATTTGAATTCTTGGCCAACAAGTTAGCTAATAATTAAATATAGAGAGAAAGATGCAAAAACGTTAGGGATGACGTAGAATTATTTCTCCATTTTTAATATGCGATGGATTTCAATCATTCTTTCGTCTTTACCTATTAAATTCATACATTTAAGACTTTTATCATCATATATCGACTTCTGCAAATATGAGGGAAATGTTGGAATTATAAATAAATAAATAAAATCCTAGTTACCCTCTTCAATTCTCACCTCAACATCTTAGGGTTAATTCCAAAAAAAAAGCACTAACTTTAGGTCTAGGGACAATTCTGGCAATAACTTTTTTTTGTCCCATAAAAAAGCACCAACTTTAGGTTAAGGGACAATTTTGGCCTGAACTTTTTTTTGTTCCATAAAAAAGCAACAACTTTAGGTCGAGAGACAATTCTGGCCCCAACTTTTTTGTCTCATAAAAAAGCACTAACTTTGACTTAAATCCCAAATCTGGCCCCCATTGACTTAGAACCATTGATTATCTAACTTAACTATTCCACATTAGCAATAAATCCATGTGGCTTGCTAACTCGATTTAAAGCAATATTATTGTCTTATTCTCTAAGCCACAATTTAAAGAATAACGGTAAAACCGTTCATCTCCTTCACTTCACTGACAAGTCAAAAATATCTCCAGATTGAATCTCTCTGGCCAAACGTAATCTGAAACTGACCACTGCTTGTAGACAGACGCCATGGACGAGATTCACCAAGCTCATCACCATAACCTTCTTTCTCAAATAATGGTGAAAGTCAACAGGGGGCCAGATTTGGGATCATGACGAAAGTTGGTGATTTTTAATGAGACAAAAAAAATTGAGGCCGGAATTGTCACTCAACCTAAAGTCTGTGCTTTTTTACGGGACAAAAAAGAGTTCGGGCCACAATTGTCCCTTGACCAAAAGTTGGTGCTTTTTTATGGAACAAAAAAAAGTTCATGCAAGAATTGTCCCTCGACCTAAAATCGGTGCTTTTTTTTGGAATTAGGCCCAACATCTTAGGACAAGCCTACATTTCTAAAATGAGTAAATTAAAATCAGCACAAAAACAGATGTAAAAAAAAAATTGACACTAATCACAAATTAAACCACGTACCCTAACCAGGAAGACACAGACGCCCTAATCCTCTCTCGATCCACCGACGCCGCCATCGATGGGCACCATTGCCCACAATAGGCATCGGCAATCTCATTCTTCGGTAACATCCGACAAAAGGCGTTGCAAAAGTTGCAACCAGGCAAAACCTCAAGGACTGGCGAGGTGGTGGTCCTAGTGGAGGTGGCGAGCTCTGTAACGCCGATTTGAAGTCGTGATTGCAGCCTGAGTGGCCATCAAAACCAAACGAGAGGGCACAAAGATATCGAAATTCTCGTTTTAGGGATTCTATATTAACGTGAGACAATTCAAAATACGAAATTTATAGCTATTTTCCCGAGAAAAACGATAGTCTCGTAAATTTTGAAGTACCACCTTATTGGATGGTCGGTGTAATTTGGCTTAGAAAATGATAAATTGAGGATGCAAAATCAATTTCCGATGAAAAAAAAAAGGAGAAATCTAACCGATAATTTCTTTTCCCAAAAATTTACAAAAAAAAAAAAAACTGCCCAAGCATCTTTGTTTTGACCATCCTTCCGCGGCTGAAGTTTGGTCGTCCTCGCATTTGCTGACGTCACTGAACTCGTACCCCTGTAGACCCCACAGTCATTTTGCTCCCAGCCCACCATATGGCCTGGCAGGCAGACGCACACTACGATGCCCACTTTGACTATCACCCCAAATTCCGACTACCCCCAGGTTCCGCGGATTTTCCATAACTAAAACACGGCCAGCAGAAACACATGCATACTATATTAATGTTCTCTGTTTCTCCATAAATCCCCCGCGCTCCATAGGTAGCAGAAGAAACCTACTCTTGCTTCTTCTCTTCATCCATCCCTGCTGTGTGCGCGCGCGCGCCTTTGTTAGAGAGAGAGAGAGAGAGAGATGTCGGAAGAGTCGAGCACCACGACGACTGCCGAGGAAAGGACGCTCGAGTCGACGCCTATGTGGGCCGTGGCGACGGTTTGCTTCGTCTTGATATTCGTCTCCGTCTTCCTCGAGCATCTGATCCATCTTCTAGCTCAGGTACGTGCGCGCCCGTCGCCGCCTTTCGGTCGATGTCTCGAACTGGTCTTTTTCGAAGGGGTTTTGATTGGAGATCATATGCAACCTTTTTATGCTTCGTTTCAGTACTTGCAAAGCAAGAGGAAAAGGTCTCTGATTCAGGCCCTTGACAAGATCAAATCAGGTGCTCATCTTCTTCTTCTTCTTCTTCTGTCCATCTCTTCAGCTCTTCTCTTACTTGGGCTATCGTCTTTGCCCTCTTCTTCTCTTTTTTTTCTGATTTGTTGATGATGTATATTTGCAGAGTTGATGCTGTTGGGGTTCATATCGTTGCTTCTGACCGTGACGGAGAGGCCGATCGCAAATATCTGCATTCCGAAGAGCGTGGCCGAGACGTTCCTGCCTTGCAGCAGCTGGGAATCTAGTGAGGAAGAGGAAGAAACTAATTGTATTGAACAGGTACGTTCCACGCCGCCGCTCTAGAGTAACGTAAAATTTCATATCGATTGACCATGAAATTTATAATTCCATACGATGATGGTATGATTAATCAATATCAAACCGGGACGGAAGCATTGCATTGTTTCGTTGCTCGATCTCAGGGATTTCGATCATCTTCGAACGAAAAATTTTGAATACACAATCTATGTTCTCTCTTTCTGTCTTAGCTCTTTTACTTACTTGATAGTATAAAAATTCACCCATTTCCTCTACATCGACCCGATTTACCGAAGTGAAACAAGGGATCTAAAGAAAGAAGAGCATAAGCTAGACCATGTTAGCAACGAGTAAATCTTCTGTATTTAATGTAAAAGGTTTTAAGATATAAAGTTCAATTGCAAGGTCGAAATAACACAGAAAGCATTCACTTTTTCATACGCGCATCGCGAGTGATCAATCATCATGCATACTTCACATCTTTTTCCCTTGTTTTATTCATATTGATTGTTTTCCCTTTGTCCTTTCATGTTGGGCTCATGTAATTATTGTTTTCATGGTGGTCCATGGATGATATAAACTTATGTTATATTATAGTTGATTTAATAATTTTTCACTATGCCTTGAACAGGGAAAGGTGTCTCTCTTGTCGAGGGAAGGTGTACGGCAATTGCAGTACTTGATCTTTGTGCTCGCCTTCTTCCATTCCCTCTCTTGCATGCTCACTTTCGCCCTCGGGATGGCCAAGGTAACCAAATCATTCATCGATCGATTTTAATTATTTATTCTCCTTTCCAAGTGTCACTTTCCTTTGCATGTGATAAATTTCCAAATTCGACGTAACGATCAATGGAGTTGTAGTAGTATCGTTCACAAACTCCACGTGATTTGAAGATTTCATCGGCTTTAAATAAGGTCAAAGCGACGAAATCGTTGTTGAAGTACCGTCTTCTACTAAGCAACATGCGAAGAAATCGGATTAATAAATAGGATATCGAATAAGCGGGTCGTTGAAATCTCATGCATAGGTCGAACGATGTTCGTCATCAGTTGCGTGGATTCGCAAGGTTTTTTCTAGAGGGCGATTGATTGAAATTTGCTAGACCAATGAGGAATGCGTTTACTATTCTATTCTTGTGATGTCCCACTTAGAGCAAAGCGAAACAAATTTGCATTTTGATCTTCTTTTTTGACTTGTACTAAAGTTTAAAAAGAAAAAAGAAATTCCGTGTGAACAAGTTCGGTGACGAGGAACTTTCCCTTTAGGACATGACTACTCCCTCATTCGTTTTCACTTGTGTTGCTTTACCAAACCTTTATGTCTTCTACATAATGCGCGCTAGTGGGAAACTTGGACTAGGGTTTGACGAATAATTGCACCTTTTTGTTTTTTTAAAATTTTTTGGGTTAACTTATTTATTTATAATTTATTTATTTTATTTTCAGATGAGGAGGTGGGAATGGTGGGAGGCAGAGACGAGGACTTTGGAGTACCAATTCTCAAACGGTACGTCGTTTTGGGCCTGGCTGTTGTTCTAGGTCCGTGTCGGCACCCACAAATTTTTGTGCACTTTCTATTAAAAAGGGTCAAATAATCCGCTTAGTCACCAACTTTGAGATTCACACCTTAGTCGTAAACCACCGACCTTTCGATGGTACCCCTTTTTGCGAAGCGTGCTATCGGTAATTTTGAAAATTGAAATTTCATATGACTTATGCTTTGTAAATGATTTTAGAGTTGTCCGTAGAAATGATTTTCAACATCGACTATGATAAACCCTAGTTTTCCGACTAGATATACCAACCTTTGGCTTACGAAGATAACTAGCTTTAAAATGAATTTGAATTCATTCACTCGACGTAATTCTATTAAGTCGTCATTTGTTTGAAAAGCCTCACCAGCTAATCACGTTATGCCGTGTCGGCGGCACTGCTCGTGCGATTGACCGAGAGATGTCACTTCCACGCAACTCGTACCGCATTAGATCAAAGCCATTGATCTGTCCCCATCTCAAAATTTCGAGCATTGCACCATAGAATGTTATCCACGCCATTCACATTGGAAGTCAACATCAGAAAGCAATTTTTCTCTTTGTAGTGGACAAGAATTGGGTGGAGCTTGATATTTTTCTCGAAGGGGAAACAAACAAAAAATAAACATGACGTATTAATTTTATCGTTGATTTATGGAATTTTTAAGAAAAGAAAATTAAATGGTTGCTTTTAATTGCTGGCTCTGTTCATTTTATTGACTTATGTTGTGATGTTGGCACAGACCCAAGAAGGTTCAAGCTCGTCCATCAGACATCATTCGCAAGACGGCACTTGACTTGTTGGAGCGATCACCGCCTTCTCCGGTGGCCGGTCAGTAACCAAATAATTGAAAAAATATATATTCACATTTTAATGTTTAATATTAATTTTTCACAAAAAAGAAATAATCCTAATTCTCATTTCTTTTTGTCCTGGGCAGGCATGTTTTCTTCGGCAGTTTTATAATTCGGTCTCGAAAGTAGATTATCTGACGCTGCGTCATGGATTTATCATGGTATCTTAATGTTATATTAATTTAAACATTTTAATTTTTCGGAAATTGTGTTAAGAAATTCCTTTTCTTAATATTGGTCGGCCACCTTGATTACAGGCCCATTTGTCTGAAGGAAGCACGTTTGACTTCCAGAAGTACATTAAAAGGGCTTTGGAGAAAGATTTTGGTGTTGTTGTCGGGATAAGGTAATTACTTTTTTTGTAATTAAAAATTAGTAAAATTACTTCTTCTTTTTTATAAAAAAATAATAATTTTTCATTTTCCTTTCCCGTGCAGCTTCTGGATTTGGATCTTCTTAGTCATTTTCATATTCTTCCACGCACATGGTAGGATTGTAATAAAATAATTTAATTAAAAAAAAGTAGCTCATTTTTTTTAATAAATTTGTTTATGTAACTCTGGTAATGATGCTAATGTAAAGTTCAATTTTCTTCAGGGTTCCATAATTATCTATGGCTTCCCTTTTTTCCACTGGTGGTAAGTCAAAATTCTACAATTTACTCAATTTGGGCTTAGAATAAATAGATATGGGCTTTGATTTTGGTCTATATTGATGCTGCAGATGTTGTTGCTGGTGGGAACAAAACTACAAGGAATAATAACAAAGATGTGCATCGATAGCAATGATAAGTCTAATGTTGTGAGGGGGACTTTGCTGGTCAGACCAAGCGACCACTTCTTCTGGTTTGGGAGACCCAAATTGCTACTTCACCTCATCCACTTCATACTCTTTCAGGTAATTAAGAAATGAGCCTCTTAGAGTCATTACATGTTTCCAAATCTTCGGTGAATTATGATGAACATTGAATCTAAATTTGAAAATCCGTCCGGTGCATCGCATAGTTTGTGTAAAGTTCGGTGTGTTTAGGCTTCCCTAGTCGAATATGGCTCGATCAAATTCTCCGTTGTGAAAATTCAGGGCATGTTCTAAACATCGTGTGTGCGCCAAATTTTACATGGATAGTGTATACACAACATACCACGTTTTGGCCTATACCTGATCAATCTAATTCTTGCAAACACCTCGGAAGTAAATAATAAGCAAAATCATAACCTAATGAATTATTTCTTCTAAAAATAGAAATCGTTTTGATCATAGTCCACCCTCATTCTTTTATTTAATTTTTTTTTGTCAATTCGTTTTGATCATAGAATTCCTTTTAGCTCACACTAAAACTCTCTGCTCTTGATTTTTCAGAACTCTTTCCAAGTGGCATTCTTCACATGGACTTGGGTAAGCATATAAGCAACTTGTCGATTATTTATATATATGTAAGTATATGGAAATATATTTTTTAGCTTACTGATTTATTTAATGTTTTGCTTGGAAAACACAGTACAAGTTCGGGTTCCGATCTTGCTTCCACGAGAGTACAGAGGATATTGTCATCAGGTTCACGATGGGAGCGTTGGTACAATTCCTTTGCGGATACGTCACTTTGCCTCTCTATGCTTTGGTCACCCAGGTGATTTAACAAAACCCTCATTGTCATATTACGTTGTTTCTTGATTTACCATGGAATTCTTCTTATAATTGTACAAAATTAGCAAAACAAGACACAAAGATGTGCACTTGAATTCGAAAGATATACATCTAGGGTGCGTTTGTTTCACGGAAAATTTAAAAAATTTAGAAAACATTTTCCTAAAAATAATTGACTATATCGCTTAGAAAAATTAGTGAATAGAAAATGTTTTCATTATCAACGACAATTTATGAATAACTATTTTTGTGGGTGATGAATATATTTTTCATTAATTCATTTTTGTAAGCGACATAATCGATTATTTTTTTGGAAAATTTTTTCCAAATCTTAAGTTTTCCGTGAAACAAACGCAACCTTAAATTATTTACATACCATGCATTGTATTAAGTTCTCTTTGTCTTACTTATGTAACATCCATGCATTATCTTGAGTTTAGAGGTAAAATATTCTGCATGTCTTGCTGCAAACAGATGGGCACGTCCATGAGGGGAGCCGTTTTCACGGAAAACGTACGCAAGGGACTCAAGAGATGGCGAGCCACTGCACGGAAGAACCTCGCCCTCCGTGACCCTTACGCCCCCCGCCCTTGGCTCGACGCTTCCGTCAGGTCGCTGGACGCCTCTGTCACGTCACTCGATGCCTCCGTCACGTCACTCGATGCTTACTCTCCTTCGTTCAGTCTCGACGCTTCCATCTCCATCGATCTCGGACATCCCGATCTTGAGTCATCAATCGCCCCCGAAACGATGGATGGAGAGAAGAATTCGGACCCTAAAACCGTGGAAGAGCGCCCGAAGAAGGGATCTTTTGATGGTTTTGTAATATAACTCGACGACGTGATTTAAGTTCAGATCGGAAACGGAAAAGGTTATCGCGCTTGTAATCAGTTCTAGCGATCGGAGGAGAGATTCAGTACGGTGGCTGTCTTGCTCTGGTCATGAGGTTACTAGATGAAGGAAGTCGATCCGCAGCCATATGCCGGAGCTAGGACAGATTTGCGCGGCGATGATCGATTTAGGAAAAGGGTGGAAGGATCGGGCAGTGATTTCATTATGCTCATCTTCTCTCTAGAATTGTTAGTATTCTTGATCAGCTTGGTGTATATCTTTATTTGTTGATACAAGAAAATATTTAGTATTGACATAGTTGATATTATATTTCACTTCCCATATTTTTTTTTCATATCTTCGCATATTTTAACTCATATTCATTGTGCTGGAATATCAACCCATTTGTTTGTTACGGTCTTTTTCACTCCCTATACCCCTCACCTCTTCAACGCTCTGCGGCATCGGAGCGGCTCTCATCCTCCTCCTCTGGCTCTTGGGCCGCCGCCTCTTCGAACAGTTTGGCGAAAATGGAAGCACGAACACGAGCTCGAATTCATTACCCTGCGCCATGAACGGATGCAAACGAGCTCGAATTCGGGTCCCAAAATGAAGCACGAAATTGGACTCGACCTGAGAACCTAAGGAAATGCACAGTGACCGATTGGGGCTAGCTGGCGGAGTTACCAAGAAGCTTTACCTAGAAGAGTGAATAGGGTTTCAATCTGTGGTCATGAGGAACACACACGTCGACAGAGAGAGAGAGAGAGACAGAGAAGGAGAAGTCACAGCAAGGAATGGTGTGTGCACCAGCAAACAAGATTGAACCCAAAATTGCAAATAACTCTGCAGAGCAAGTTGTTCGAATCAAACAAAGAAGCTTGGAGGAGTAGAATGGAAGCAATGGAGTAGAAGCAGAGTAGGAAGAGAAAGTACGATGGTTCGTGTTGAAATGCATGTGTGAGTAGTATTAGAGAAATTCAACATCGGAGAATTGATGTGGTGTAGAACAATTAATATATCTTAGTCAACTCATAACTCATTGATTTAAACTTTTGAGTAAATGTGAGTAAACTGAATATATTGACGGGCTCGGACTTCGGCTTCCTTTTGGCGATCTCCCCAAGCGAAAGGTATCGGCTTTTATTGCGCTCCCAACAAATGGTATCCGAGCCAATGGTTGATTAGTGGAGTATTGGTGTTTGGTAAATATCTCAATGAAGGAATCTAGTGACTAATGCGGTTTCCGAGCAGGTGGGCATTGTGGTGTAGCAATGCAAGTCCGATGGCAAACTTCATTGTTCGGTCTGGAAAAAAAGACTAGAGATAAAATTGGGCATTAAGATTCAAGTTAAAATAAGTTGAGACAGAGGGATACCTATGTCAACCACGAAAATGGCACACCCAGGATCACCATAAACAGAAACCGAAACACGAAAATGGAGAAGTTATAGATTCACGCACCTGGTTTAAAATCCATCGAACTTGATGCGGAATTGGTGACAGTTTTCGAACATGAACTCAGGCGCTTCTCCCGTATACCCTTTGTCGGACACTGGCCTAATGAGATTGCCACTCATGAGAAGAAATTCCTCTCTAGATCCATATGTGAGTCAGATTGTGCATCATCAGGTTAGGGGAGGGACTTGAGCGCTATTTATAAAGTTTTCAGCCACGGGCCCTCTCATTATGGGCCGAGCCGTATTCGGTCCACACTAGCCAGCCTTATATTAGACTTATTAAGAACCCATATATTTCACTTTTATTAGACCAAACTAATACTGTTAATCTCAATTAATGAAGCCCACATTAGGAAATTCTTACAACCTGAATTAAGGGAGAGCAACCCTAACACTAAGCTCACACGCGAGGAAAATATTGTTGAGATGTACGTATAAATTGTATTAGAAAAATCACATATTGAAGAATTGATGTAGTGTAAAATAATTAATATATCATAACTCATCAGCTTAAACTTTTGAGTGAATATGGGTCTAACTATATATGTCGACGGGCTATGACTTGGGCTCCCTATTGGTGATCTCTCCGAATAAAAATATCGGGCTTTTGCTACGCGTTACCAATAATTCGATTGCCGCCGACTGGGTAGGGGACTATGAGGATGCCAAGGACGATGCACAGAGTGAGATGGCTCGCCATCTCCTTTATTAGGGGGTCCACTGTTGAAAGCAATGGGATAGTCCATCGTCATGTCCTCGTCGAGATCGAGAACGCTTGGTCCATACCCTATTTCCCAGCTGAAAGTAATGAGACCTTGTTTGGTCGAGATTTGACGTTGCAATTTGAACAAAGAAGGGATTGCACCCATTTTTCCATTGGGTTTACAGTGGCCCAACCATAGGATTAAAAAAACAAAGCCCAATTAAAGTAGGTCTAAATGGGTTTAACTCATAGCCATTTATTAACTCATTTTTATTGGGTTGCGTATTGCTGTTTTAGCCGTTAGAGTTTACTAACACGAAATGGGTTAATAACATTTTTGTTGTGTTAATTTACTTTTTTAATTTAATATGAAAATTTTTATTCAAATAACACATACCTATGAAAGTGGGTAAGAATTTTCATAAGTTATATTATATATGGATGTCTTTTAGTAAAATTGATCAGGTAGAGTATTAATCAAGTGCAGGTCGAATCGGGTATGGGTCATTAAATTTGTATCACATGTAAATTGATCAATTTGGGTTAGACATTTTCGATCCGATCCACTCTTTGACGGCCCTACTCAACAGTAGTTCTACAAAATTTTACGAGGCAATAGATTAGGTCCTATAATTTCACATACTAGTAATAATTGTTGTCAAGTTTTGATATAAACGTCGATTTCTTGGAAGAGAAGATGTCTGAAAGGAAAATAAAGTAATCAGGTATCTTTGACAGTGTCAACATGGTTATGTATATTGAAATGGTTCGTGAAGTTTGGAATACTAAACAAGGTGGCATAATTTGGATTGTATATTTGGAGGAGTTGAAATGCACGTATTGGTGATGTGCCACGTCATTTACTATACCGAATTTTGTAAACTAGTTAGGATATGTTAGTTTTACTCTAATGTATGTCAAGTTGCTTCGTAACAATGCGTGTGTTAAGAAGAACCGAGCAGTAGACCTATTAAACGGGTGGGTTGGGTTGGATAAAAAATACTCCGATCCCAATTGACCCATTTAATCCGTTGTGAACTATTTTCATGCAATAAAATCTACTGACCCATACCCGACTCAACCCACACCCAAGCCATACCCAACCAAATCCATATTGTTAAAACACTTCCATATTTAACCCAATTTAGGAAAATTTATACAGAAATTGAGGTAAGAGCGTGGGGTCAGTGAGCACAAAATCGAGCAAGGGCGAGAGAGTGACGAGAGAGTCATAGAAGTGGGTTTAGTCTAAATAAGCTGCGAACTCATTTAACGTACATATTATTTTAGTTTTTACCATTCTAAACCCTTTTATGATCCATGTAACAACTAGGCCAATCAAATATGAGTTAAGAAATGCATCAATGACCCGTTTTTACAGGTCTACTAAGCAGAAGAAAACATAAAAGGGTTCATTAAGAAATTCTCTCTTTATAAATACTTTATCAAATTAGAGTAGCTTTCACCTAAGACAACATGGAGGATCAATGCATCATAATGCCTTTAATCCTCTCTTAGCACCGGGCTTCAGGTCCTATCCAACAGACCAAGAACTCGTCCTCCATGACCTCAAAGAGAAGGTGTCTTCTTCCTCAAAACGTTTTCTCTCTGTGATTGCTGATGTTGACAGATACAAATGATGTGGCTAGCAAGGATCACCTAGAGAGGGGTGAATAGGTGATCTTAAACAATTTTTATCAATTTATGAGGAAATGAAAGATCACAGTTGAGTCTGAATAAAATTCAGATTCAAGACAGTTTATAGACAATGCTCTTGATGTGCAGTATGTAAGATAAGAGATAAAGGATAGAAAAACTACATACAAATTTATAGTGGTTCGGCTTATAGCAAGCCTACGTCCACTCTCCCACGCTGACAGCCTACTGGCTGGATTTCACTATGTAATCAAGAGGAATTACAGCTTTTGAGTGACAGCACTCATGTGTATGATAGGACTCTCTATCTCACACAATCACTCTTACAAAGTATCCCTCAAGATCTTAATATTTGGCTCAGAAAGACAAGAGTAAGGATCGGAGTATGCTTAGACTTTGGACTTGTTGATTCTTGATTCTATTGTTCCTTCTGCTGCTCGTTGATCTCTTTAAATACTCCTCTACTTCTAAACTAGCCGTTGGATGACAGATTCTGAATCCCGCTGATTCTGGTCGCCCATAGAATCAGAATCTTGGTTTCCATAAGTAGAGCTTTATCCGTTGTAATTCATACTTGTCGTAATGTTTGATTGTCAATCAATTTGATTGAGATTGAGACAATCAAAACTTTATTTCTGTGAAATCCATATTAGATCACTAGCTGTTATTTTTCGTTACGAGTTACGCGTGCAAGCGTGCAACGTCGCATCTGCGTATGAACAACACGTATGCCTTCGAAGAACTTCTGCGTCGAATAATTTCTTCATCTGTGTCCCAGAACTAAGATTATGTGGGTCTTCCATAAGATATGAACTTCTTATTTTGCCAGCTTGTAAAGTCTTAAAAACTTCCTTCTGAGCTTCTAGAATATATATACATACCTGGAATAAAATAGTTCAGAATAAGTATCAGATTTACAATAACTGGAAGGTTTTGTCAACTTCAAAATCAATAGGAGCTTTCCTCAACAATCTCCCCATTTTTTATGGTGACAAAACTTCCTTGCAGATTGAAACAATTTGAAATTAATTTGAAATAAATAAGCATAGTAAGCGCATGAAACACAGATTGAAATTGAAAGAGCAAACTCTATTAATATCTGCGTCTTTTTCTTCCTTTGTATATAACCTGCATATGATCTGCGTATTAATGTTAGTATGACAAATCTGCATATAATTTCTCCCCATTTTTTTCATCAGCAAAAATAATAATAGAGAGAATAAAGCATTGATATAAATTAACCAAACAATCTAACAAGAGGAATTGTTAAAATATTACAGATCAATTGAGAAAGAGATGGTTTTTGAGAAAAATGTTAAAAAGCAGGCTATTTCTTGGAAGGGGTTCGAATGAGTTGAAAGTTTTTCAATATGAAGACAGCTTCCTCAATCTTCGAAGAACATTGACCCATAGCTTTGTCCATGTTGTTTGAGCACAGAGCAATGGTTTCCTAAAGTTCTGCTTTGTCTTTTGCTGCCTGAAGACGTTGAGTCTTGTTGTTTTCCTCAACAATTTTCTGTAGATACTTCACGTC